AGGTGCAGATGCGCGGGCCTCCAGGCCGTCGGTGTAGGCAGCAATGCCCATCTCGTCTTTGTGCGCGGAGGCAGACGTCATCAGAAAGGTGGACGGGCAGGATGTACACGGCGCTAGGTTTGCTAGAGGGAGCTGTACTGTCTCAGTAACATGGTTTTGCCATCAAAGGAGGAGGAGACAGGTGGTGCGGAGGTGATTGGGCTGGTTTACCCTTCGGCGCGAGAATTTTCAACCCAGAACCCTACGTGCAACGAGGGAGAAAGCGAGGAACCGACTGGGAAGGACAGCAACGAGAGCGTGTACGAAGCGGAGCGGGTCGAGTTTGGTCGTGCTAGGACTGGCCACAGCGGCACCGGAGCAGTGGCACCGGAGGAGCGGAACCCGAGCAGCGGACGGCATCGAACCGTGGCCCACGGACAAACATCTCTTGTGTTGTCNTGTGTTGTCAATTTTTCTCGTTTTTTTCCTGATTTTCGGTGTTGGTTCTATGTGATGACGTCGTCACTGGTTTTGTAGAGAGACCCGTCAGAGATGGCGTGGCTAACCCGGGTGCCTTGGTTATGTGCCTGATCGTGGAAGACCCCTTCAATGTGGAACGATTCCTAGTCAGTGTCGATGTTTACACTGCTGTGCCTAACACACATGATCTGGATAGATTCGGGTGCTTGTCAATTGCAATGATGGCTTTGGTTGGGTGTTCTTCTTTATTAAATGTCCACGGACTAATTCTGACAGCACTTCAGACAGCAGCTGCATGCCCCGAGCTTGTGTACCATGCACNGCTGCGAACTCCGTTCGCCCTGGTCTCCTGACCTCCTGCAGACCGACAAACGAAATGTCCTGTTTCGTTGCCTCGTGTAGGACGCTGTCGGCTCTCCCATAGCCGTTGGCCCCGTTCACGGCCAGTGTACGCACATTGTAGGTTGCTACCCTAACAAGTCGACCCTGCCGCCTCTCCCGGGCGGTGCGTGCTGCATCCCTAATCAGCCTACGCACCTTCCGGCCCCTCCTCCTCTTCTTCCTTCCTTTTTTATTTGTTTTTTTCTGATTGCTCTGCGGATCCTCGGGTTAATGTAAGAGTTAACCCGGTGCTTGCCTTTCCCAGCGAGGTGTCTTCCTGTCCCGGAGCGGCGTGGCTCTCCAGCTCTGGACCCTTTCCGTCTCCCTGTTGGGTGCTTACCCACACGGTGTGCGATCATCCCGCCACCCTCTCCGTGCTCTCCACTGCTGCCTTGCCCCGGCGTCCAAACCGGGGCATTTGGGATCAAACCCATCAGCAGCTGTCTCCAAGTTGGCTAATCGCGATCTACCTCGATCTCGTGACCGCGGTAACTCCCGACCGCCAAACTCAGGATCCTCTCCTAAACGGTGCTAGGGACCGAATATCCGTCGTTGTTGGGTGGTTTTCGAGGGTTAACTGCACTTGCGGGCCTCGGTCTCCCCCGGGGAAGGGAGGAGGGGGGGAGGCAGAGAGAGTGGTGATGGGGCACGACAAATCGTAATTTACCGGTTCCGCCGCGTGTTTGGTGAAACGGTATATTCGGCATAACTCGTCACCAAGGTGTCTGTGAAAGCTAAATGTGGGTTCATTCGAAAGCCCTGGTTCAAAGCTTTCGAATGGTGTATATTCNCCGTCGTTGTTGGGTGGTTTTCGAGGGTTAACTGCACTTGCGGGCCTCGGTCTCCCCCGGGGAAGGGAGGAGGGGGGGAGGCAGAGAGAGTGGTGATGGGGCACGACAAATCGTAATTTACCGGTTCCGCCGCGTGTTTGGTGAAACGGTATATTCGGCATAACTCGTCACCAAGGTGTCTGTGAAAGCTAAATGTGGGTTCATTCGAAAGCCCTGGTTCAAAGCTTTCGAATGGTGTATATTCTGTTGGGTAAATAACCAGGCCCTAGAGAGAAATTTATCAAGTGGCCTGTGGGCGGGTCCAGGAAAACTACCACTTTACGTGTATGGTCCGTTCGGGCAAATATTCACAATATTTTCCCCTACACAAAGGTGCACTTTTCTCGGGGTGGGTGTACTTATTCCGAAATCTGAAAATACCGCGCACTACACATTATCTTTTTATCTTTTTTTTAGAGCTAATGTGAGAAACAACAACATTCGACACACACGGCACAGCAGTAGAAATTAGCAACACAGCAGGCAACCCATACAAATACACAAGAGCATGCTGCTGGGCTGCATCATCACTACTACTACTACTAGAGAGGGTTACTACCAAGCACCACCACGGCTTGCCAGCCAGCACCAATAGTTGTGTATTACTACAGCAGCAGCAGTTCCTAGCAGCTACCTGTGTGTCTGTGCTCCCGTTAGGAACCGCAGAGCAGCGTCGATCTACCCTCTCCTCCACCCATGGGCATCAACAGGTACAACCACACAATATTGGCGCACACGTTACATAAGGCATCGTCATCACACCAGTTAGTTGCTGCACGTATCTCTCTCTGCCTCTCTCTCTTTGTGCTCGATTTCACCCACAGCCTCTCTCGACTGCTCAAAATTGCTGCTGGGGCACGGAACAACAGCTGCATACCCTTTATCTACAAATTCTTAAACCACAGGGGGGGGGGGGTTGCGACACCTCCGGACATATATCTGGCTTAGCCTCACTTCTTTGTGCCCTGGGCTGCGGGAGGCGCGTCCCCGGAAAACCAAAACGCCAAAGCACAACACGGCACTACACATTCGACACACACGGCACAGCAGTAGAAATTAGCAACACAGCAGGCAACCCATACAAATACACAAGAGCATGCTGCTGGGCTGCATCATCACTACTACTACTACTAGAGAGGGTTACTACCAAGCACCACCACAGCTTGCCAGCCAGCACCAATAGTTGTGTATTACTACAGCAGCAGTTCCTAGCAGCTACCTGTGTGTCTGTGCTCCCGTTAGGAACCGCAGAGCAGCGTCGATCTACCCTCTCCTCCACCCATGGGCATCAACAGGTACAACCACACAACATAGGCGCACACGTTACATAAGGCATCGTCATCACACCAGTTAGTTGCTGCACGTATCTCTCTCTGCCTCTCTCTCTTTGTGCTCGATTTCACCCACAGCCTCTCTCGACTGCTCAAAATTGCTGCTGGGGCACGGAACAACAGCTGCATACCCTTTATCTACAAATTCTTAAACCACAGGGGGGGGGGGGGGTTGCGACACCTCCGGACATATATCTGGCTTAGCCTCACTTCTTTGTGCCCTGGGCTGCGGGAGGCGCGTCCCCGGAAAACCAAAACGCAAAACTACTTCACACCAGCATTCAGTACATCCAGCAGGCACAGCACTAAGTCTTGCATAGAAACATTGAAACGCAGCAGGTGGCCCATCTGTTGCTGCTGGGCTGCTGCATGTCTGCTACTGCTGTAACTAGCGCAGTCTATTGCTATGCCATGAGCTATATACAGCTAGCTATATACAGCAGTACCACGTGGTTGCCCGCGTAGCAACCACTCTATTGCGTTCGTAGCAGCTCTCAACTGCTGTGCTCCTTCTCGGTTACGAACCGCAGAGCAGCGTCGATGTACAACCGCCTCCTCCATGGAGGAGCAA